ACTGCGAGCTGGGCGTTTGGCGCGATGCGGATACAGCTGGCTGCGAGTGCGGGCTATTGTTGGGGGTGCGCTATAGTGACCTCGCCGAGCGCGAATATAGACCTGCGGCGAGTGTTGGGGCGCGATTTGGGCTGTCCTTGGGCTAAACTTGGACGGCCCGATCAAATGACCCGGTTGGTTCGTCTCGATATGGCTCGGCATTGAAATCCTGGAAAATGGTTCGGGCAATAGCCCGTCTTCCCAAAATTGCAATATAGACCTAAACATCACAACAAAAGAGACCCGAAAATACGACAAAATACAAGAACAAATAACGAAAGCAGAAACATATAAAATACGATAAAATGGACCGGTTGACATAAAACCAAACCTAAAAATAACTCAACTAAAGCACAGAAAACGCGATAAAACACCACAAAAACATAACAAACAACCATCGTCGAGGGTTGTTCGTGCCCGCTCCCACGTTTCGCATGCCATCGTTGAGGGTCGCAGAGGAAGGCTAATAGATCGGAATTGGAAGGACGGGTTTCGCAGAGAAAAAATTGGGGGAGGGTTTCGGTAAGCTATTATTTACAACACAATAATTTGATTTTGAATTAATTTATTTTTTCCTAATTTCGATTATATTATAATTGTACTTTATCAATTTTTTTCCTCATCATTTTTTTTAAAAATAACTTCTACTTTATAATATGTATTCAATAATTCTAAATATAATGTGTATGCGATTTAACTTTATGAAATATAATAATTATTTCTATTGTTCTAATTATACTGTTCAATCTATATATACTCTATAAGTTGAGATATAAACTATTAGAATATTTTTTATATTAATTTTTTTCTTTTTACAAAATGATAGAGATATTATAATATAAGACGCACAAATGTGCAAAATACACAACCCCTAGCTAAATAGTACATCCACCAGCTGAAAGTTGGGAGAACATGTCAGGAGACTGCCTAGAAACGCTAGAAAAAAAAACTCAAAACAACACAACACAAATGCCAAACTACTACGACCCCAACAGGGTAATGCGGAGTAATGCCCGCTCACACTCGAGCTCACAAGGACCAACGGCCCAAACCAAAGACACGAATCCTAAGCTAGCAACACACAAAAATGAAAACAAAACACATAGAAACACAAGAAAAACCTAATAGTTAAATAAATAAATAAAGCCCTCTTCACTAACATCGAGCCACTTCCAGTCGCCCCAAACAAGCACCGAGCGTAAGATAGTCAACCGAGAAAATCTAGCTCACGACCCACACACAAGATCTAGAAACTCCCTAACGGCTAACTAGATCTGGACCAGTCGACTCGACAGCTTCCCGAATGACCACCACCGGAACAACACCATAAAATTGACACCCCAGCCTCCCCCCCCCGCGTATCCCGCGACCACAGCCACGCCGAGAGGGACGTCGCCGCACTCGCCGGAGGTTCCAGCCGCCTCAACACCAGAAGACGGATTGAAATCGGGAGAAGTCCAGGACCTCTGATTTGAGAGTTGACTGCCAATAAAGGCCGCTGGCACTCACCTCCGAGAGAATCCTGACCAAACGTTCGTCGCAGCTCCACCCCGCCATGGTCGACGGAACCAGTCGACAGTTGGAGGAAGCCACTCCTGCCCGCCCAGTCGCTCATCTTCAGCCCCGATGTCGTCCCGAGATCCGAACTCGCCGGGGAAGAAGGCCTTCGCCGGTGAAGAGGCGAGCACCGATCAATTTGGCGAAGACCGAGGGTTTACGAATTGGGGGAAAGAGAGAGATCAATTTGATGTTCATAACTCGTTTACTCATTCTTTTCTAAGTAAAATAATTAGTTATAGTATGTTAATACACAAAAAATTCTATTACTTTATAAGATATTTTATAATTTTATTTGATTTTTTAATTCAGTTTGATACATTAATTTACATTTTATTTTGAAAGATTTATATCATTGTTTTGTATTCTATATATATAATATGGATGTCAAATCGAATAACGATAAAAAATAACTAATTTGATATATCATATATGAAAAATAAATACAAACAAAAACCGTTTATAATTTATGTATGAGTTGAATAATAATAAGAAATGTAATATACGGTAATGTAGAAAATTAAAACATAAAATAATTATGGTAACTAATTGTAGAAGAAAATAAGGAAGATATTCAATAATGTATTTACTATGAAAAATAGAGACATTACATGAATCCAAGCCTAATTTTTCTTTTTAAAAATATTAATTTATATTCAGGTCTAACTTTGTGCTACATAAAATTTCCGTAAAAGTCTGTCCCTTAAGCTTAGTGTATTTTAAAATTATATATATGAGAATTAGCCCATCAAGGATAAATAAAAAAATAAAAATAAAAAAAACCAAATTTGGCTATTAAGAAATGTGAATTTCATTCTTCACCACTTCCGGTTAACAAAATCTCTTCAGACTGTTCTTCGTTATTCCCAGCTCGTCATTTTCTCAGGTGATTTCATCTTCTCGATCTGCTCTTTCGAGTAAATAATTTGCTCCTTCATTTTCACTTTCGATAATTATTATCACTGATTTGAAGTCGCCACATTCGGTT